CTCACACACACTCACACACACACACTCTCTCACACACACACACACACACACACACACACACGTAAACTCTCACACACTCACACGCAAACTCACACACACACACGCACAAACTTACACACACTCACACGCAAACTCATACACACACACACAAACTCTCTCACACACACACACACACTTGCATGCACACACATGCTCGCAACCTCACTTGCACGTACTCACTCACACACACACACACTCTCACACTCACACACAAACACGCGCATCTCACCATGTGTGAAGTGACTCTGGTCTGCCACATATCCACTTGTTTCGGTGTGAGATCAGGGATCTGCATCCCGAAGCGCACAGCCAGAGCCTCCACGTAACCTGCTAAACTACACACAGCATTACTAACACACACAACTAGTTCACCCGCACACTAGTTCACACGGTTAGTGAAGCGGTTTACCCGAGTCCAGCCAGATCAGACACCAGATTCCCCAGAGCCGCCGCTGAAACACAAAGACCATCAGTGAAGCTTCTGTGTTACTAACTACTGGACGAATCTCACCAGAACCAGATTTCATTCCAGATTAAAGGAATTTATATTTAGCATGAAATATACCAATAAAGATGGTTTAAAGGAACATTTACACTTTTTGCATTGTGACTTTTCAATTTCATGACGATTAAAACAAATAATTTATTTCAAGCCCCAAAATCAGCAATATAACATGTCCTCACATATTACTTAAATTTATGCTAAATGTAGATCAGCATACGTTAAAATCAATACAACAGATAATGCATCAATACTTCAGATTTTATATAAGATCACATTAGATCAGGGTTTCCCAAACTGGAGTTCTTGAGTTTATGAAACGTTATTAATTAAATAAATACAATTAAAATAAAATGCTTGCTAAAAAAGATTATATATTTGATTTAATATAAATTAAAATGAAACTTTAAAATACAATCCAAAATAAATCATTACTAAAAGTATATGAAATTTCATTTGATAAAACAGAAAAAAAGTTTAAAAACAAAATAAAATGCTTACTAAAAACTATATTTTATATGAACTCAATGTTAACAAAAAGAGAAGATATTTTATGTAAAATAAATAATATAAATAACTTAATGTAAAAATAAAAACAATCAAAATTAAACAAAAAATGTGAATTATTTTATTTGTTTAGCTGCATGTCATGTAAGCATTAACCGACATCAGAGAACTGTGAACAAGTGAATGTGTCATTAAATTATTTAAATATTAATAAAAAATAAATAAATTAATATTTAAAAATAATAAAGGATAAAAGGGTTTTGGCTGATAAAAAAAAAAAAAAAAACAGGAA